GTCTTTTTGTCCTGAAAAACTGCCCGGATTCCAGGCCTCCCAGGGGGCAAGAGTGGAGAGAGCTGGAGGGGTGGAAGGAGGGAGGGTGTGAGGAATTTCTGGACGGAATGTTCCCCTGGAGGCTGAGTCCGCATTCTGCGCCCCCCTCCCCCCAGTCCAGGGCTTGGGCACCTCCCCCCACCCGCTATGGCCCTCTGCCTTTTCCTTCCTCCAAAACAGCAGCCCACAGATACATTTTTTTCCCAGCTCACCCTCCCTGCAGGCCACCGACATGTCCTGCTGCGTGAACCTCCAGGCAGTCATCCCAGCCACCTCGGCCTCTGCAGACCGCCCCCCCTCAGGCCCACACTGCTGGGGGTGGGTAAACGCATGGAGAGGGCATGCATGTCTTTTTTTGGAAAAAAAAAAACCCAAAAACTTGAGGAAAGGATGTGCAGCTTCCCTTATCCACACTGTGGTTCACAGCCCCTCACATTCAGGAAGTTCTCTCTGATGTCTGGTCCCAGTCTCTCCTATTGCAGCCCGTTTCCCCCTCTTCCTCTGGAAGTGCATTGAAGAAACCTTTTCCTCCTGAGGACCTGAGACAATTAGTCTTTAAGCCGCAGAAAGCTTGTTCCCAACAGGAGGGCAGTTGATTAGGAGTAAGAGGAACTGAATGAAGATTATGGCCAGGGAGAAGAGACAGAGCATGAGGGGGATGTGAGGAGTGGCATTCAAATAGCAGCTGTCCTTATCTACAGGCTGTGTGACCTTGGCCAGGTTATTTAATCTCTCGGCCCTCAGTTTCCTCACCTGTAAAATGGGATAATGCTTGCCTTGTGAGCATTGGTTATGAGGAATAATGATCATGAAAGCAAGGAGCCCAATGTTAAGCCCAAGGCATCATTAGTACCTGCTGAGTAATTGTTGTTACTGCAGTAACGTTATGAAAATGCACCTCCAGACCAGGGCCAGGAAGAGGTAAGGCAAGTGAGGCACCTGGGGTGCAAAATTGGAGAAGGTATTGCTCTCAGCGTTGTGCATCCTGAGACTAAATGCCTCCTTAAATTTTCTGCCCTAAGAGCCTCACTCTAGTCCTTCCCTTGCTCCAGACTCCCGGGTTTGAGGCCCCAGAGCGGAGTGATCCACAGATAGCAAGACTTGGCCGTCAAGTGGCACTAGGTCTAAACTCTGCCACCTGCTCCTGAGCTGGGTTCGAGTTGTCCTGCTTGGGAGCAAGAGGCATTCTGGAAGACCCCTGGTGGGGCAGTGATTTGGCTACCCTCAGCTTTGGAAAGCCAGGGTTCGTTTTGGGATTGGGCAGGGGGAGGGGCCAGGTGGGGGAGGGGCCATCCTTGTCGGGGCTCCCTCTGCTTCATCCTTCTACAGCTGAGTCTGAGGAAGAAGGAAGAGCAGAGTCCGCCAACCAAGAGGCAAGAGCTAACCCTGCCTGCAGGCTGGCTGGGGATTGGGGTGAGGGGCAGTGGGTGAGCTCAGTGATGGGCTTTATAAAACCTGGGCGCCCACCTGAGTCCTGCCATGCACCTCACTGCAAGAGGCTGGGCGAGTCATACCCGCACCTCTCTGTACCTCAGGTTCCCCATCTGTGAAATGGGGAGGGAGGAGATGGTGTCTGAGGAGTGGTGTGCAAAGATGGTGTGTGTGTGTATGTTTCCGAGCTAACGGTAGGGTGACAGCCGAGGCTTAGTGGGTCTTTGCCAGCCACTGGAACTCTGGGGCTGTGGCCTCGGGAGACCACAGCCCTGATGGCCTGGGAGCCTTCCCTCGTATACCCAAGCTTCCCTGCAGGGCCTAGGGCAGGGGCAGCCTCAGCGGAGAGCACCCACGCCCACCCCGCCCCGTGATGAGTTCCCTCGGCTTTTTCATTCCCAGCAGCCCCAGAGCTGGCAGCGCATGGAAAGCAGAGAAGCAGGACTTCAATCCCAGGAGGTCTGGGGTGGAATGGAGGGGTGGGGAGCGCAGCATGCCTGCTGGGCCGTGTTTGCAAACACTGCAGGAAAACACTGGGTGTTGAGGTTGGAAAGCGTTTTTGGAAATTTTTAGCTCCTCAGAAGGCCTCTCCACCAGTACGTTGAAGGCAGGCGTCTGGTGGCTGGCCCTGTGGCTGGCCTCCAGCTGGTGTGGGGAAGGGCTGGGAGCAGAGGGGCACAGATGGTTGCTGGCAGGGAGAGAAGTTTCTCGTGCCCTGCTGAGGCCTGTGGTTTCTAAAGTTGACTCTCTGGTCTGCATTGTGTCAGACCCAGGAGGGATGGGGCAGGAGGGGCAAGGCGGGGCAAGGTGGGGCAGGGTGGGCTGGGAGAGGGCCCGGCCTTGCACCTGTGCAGTCGGAGCTGATAAATAACAGCTCACATTTATTGAGAGCTTCCTAAGTGCCAGGCCCCGTTCTAAGTGCTTCATCTCATTTGCTTCTCACAAAAGAGGACCATGCCTTCCCGCTGAAGAGCAGCAAGGACAGAGTGACCTGCTTGAGGTCACAGAGTCGGTAGCAGAGAGAGTCAGGACGTGGCCCAGCCGTCTGCTGTCAATGCTGTCAGACTAGACCAGCGGTTTTCAAAGTGTCATCCCCAGACCTGGAAACCTGTTAGAGATGCACGTTCTTGAGTCCCTCTCTAAGCTACTGGATCCGACCCTCTGGGGAGGGCCCAGCCACCCGTGTGTCCGTCAACAGCCCTCCGGGTGGTTGGGAGACCACTGAAGTTTGAGACCCCCGGCCCTCATTCTGCTCTGCCCCGTCGGGGTCTCTTGGGAGGCTCTTCAGGGCCTGTGATGGGCCTGGGGCAGGTACTCTTGTCTCCGGTTGCTCCATCCCACCGCATTTCTGACCCCCCCCCCCAGTCAGGGAGGGGGATTATATAAACTGTGAAGAGGGAGGGCTTTGGAACTGGGAGGTCTGGGTTCAGAGGCAGTCCTGTTGTGTAGACTCTGCACGCAGAAGGTCCCTGTGATCTGCCCTCCAAGCCTTCTCCTCCCCACAGAAAGCCAGAGCAGCTCAGAGCAGGGGCAGTTGGCCCGTTCTGCCCAGCCCATGGTCTCCACGTGAGCATTACAGAGCCCTGGACCAGAAGAGATGGGTGGAGGCTCAGAGGGCTGGGGCAGGCTGGCACTGCTGCAGAGGACTCCCCTGGGTGGGGCCGGGTGGTGGTTGGAGGCTGAGTGGAGACCCTGGTCCTGATTGTTAGGCAGCTCCTAGAGCTCAGTCTGGGGAAGGGATCCCGGGGGATTTCCTGTGGGCTCATTTGCCTCCTGCCCGGTGGCCTGTGGCTCAGGAATGGGGTTCTGGGGGCTGGCTAGGTGAGGATTAGGACTGGGCTGGGGCGGGACAGAATGTGGCCTCTTGACTCCCCCTGCAGAGCCATCCTCAGACTCCAGGTGGACCCACCTAGGGGGCTGGGAGGGGCTGGCTGATACGGCATTCCTGGACTCTGTTTTCCCTCAACCCTCTCAAGCTGCCTTGACCCTGAACTACACAGGGGGTTTCACCCACCTGGAAAGAAGGTTTGGCCTCAGTCTCTTGTCTCCCAGGCAGTAGGGGGAAAGTCTGGGCGTTTTTAGAAAGAGAGCTACTGCCTTCAGCTCAGCCCACTTCCTTCCTCCATCCCTATCTTGGCCCAGTTCTCCTCCCAGATGCCAGAACATTTCAGAGGTCATTCTGTCCACTCCCCTGTCTTCAGACATGAACAGCTCACCCTCAGGTCCCGGGATGGGGTTGGGGCAGGTGCTTCCTATTCAGAGACTTACTGTCTAAACCTGGTCCACAGTCATCTCAGCAAAGGCTTGTTTCCATGACCTTGACGTTCATGTCCATGTCCATCTGTGTGATTCAAGGGCCCCTCTAACCACATCACTGAGTTGGGAATGGAGCCCTGGAGACCGTGGTCAGGAGGTGGCCCTGGAATGGGGAGTTTCTCTCTCATTATGGGGGAGTCCAAGGAGCCCACATTTCAGGATGCCTTTAGTAGGAAGTTGGTCTGCACAAGGGAAGGATGGCACCAGGGTGAGGGACAGGATCAGTCCACGGGTGTTTATTGACGGCTCGCTACACATACGGCACAGTCTCCGGCCTGAGGGCTATGGCAACTCAGTTGGTAAAAATGCTTCTTTGAATCTGTTTCGGAGGCAGGTGGGATAAGAATCACAAATAAAAATAAAATGAGAGTTGGGGAATTAGACATATTCCCACAATGAGATTATTCACACGCTGAGGACCAGATAAGTAGCTCAGACAGTAAGGCTTACTGGAGTTCTGAGGTGGGAGAGAGAGACCCCTTTGCTGGGGTGTTCAGGGAGGGCTTCATCGAGGAGGAGAGCTAGTAAGAAAAGAGGAGAAGCTGCTCCGCAAACAAAAGCCCGGATATGGGAATAGCAAGGGGTCTGGATGGAAGAGAGTTTTGGGGTAAGGAAACTGAGGTCTGCAAGGGGGCAGGGCCAAAGGTGGGGATGGCCCTTGAAAGCCCACCGAAGCATGAAGACTCTGGCAGGCCTGGTATCTGTGGCTGCTGTGGTTTCACACAGCATGAAGTGTAGAGACCCAAGATGGGGTTCCAACCCTTTTGTCCCCCTTAGTAGTCAGTGGCTTTGGTCCACTCATCGAATTTCTCCTTATTTGTAAAGTGGGGCTCAAAGGCAGTAACAGTACTTACCTCACTGGGTTCTTGTGAATAAATGAAGCGGCTGGTGTAGGCACACATGCCTGGCAGGTAGGAGCAAGAGTCACTTACTTGCTCCTTGTTCCTTTTTGAGGGGTCGGTGACTGTCGGAGTTAGGGGCCTTAGTGAAGTTTGTCAAGCTGGATGGTTCTAGGACCAATAGGATTGTCTTTCATTTTCCAGACTCTGCCCCCCAAGCTTGGGGTCAGCACAATATGTCTGAGTCTTGGGTTGGCACCATCGGTGCTATCTCAGGAGGCCTTCTGCCCATCACAGCCACCAGCCCCCGGGGAGAGAGCCAACCTGGGGATGTTTGCCCTGAGGCCTCATGCTGTTTTCTCCCTCTGCCCACAGCCCGTCAACACTGAAACTGCTCCAAAGAATGTAGTGGACACGGTGAGTGACAGCAGGTAGGGCAGGGTGAGCGCCTGGGGAGGCCGGGAAAGCATAAGGAAGATTGGGGGGAAAGTGAACAGATGTGTTTGAGGACACCCTTCTGGAGTAGATTTGGGGAACTTGGGGGAAGGATGGAGACATGGGTGGCACTGAAAGCTGGATATCGGAGCATCCCCTTGTGTGTTCAGAAATGGATTGCTGGGGAACTAGGCAGACAGGGAGGGAGAGGCCTGTGGTTAAACGTGGGCTTCTTTATTAGATATGTAGAATGTGAGAAAGCCAGGCAGATCTTTCCAAACACGTCTTTCTGACTCAGCAGACAGACGATTTCCTCAAGGCTGTGTGGAGGAGGAAGGGAAGGAAGTGGGTGGGTCGTGTGGTGGGGAAACCGAGGCTGGCAGCTGAGAGGCGTCTCCTGGCAGCGGCCGGCATGGAGTGATGGGCTCAGAGATGGAGGACTTGGGTTCACCTCCCAACTCCTCCAAGGTTCTATTTGTGAGACTGTAGCAAGTCCTGAGCCTATCTGTGCCTCAGTTTTCTCATCTGCAGAAATGGGAATAATAACATCTCCCCCAGGAGAGACACAAATGAGAGGATATGGTTGGCTCTGAAGGGCCATTAGTGGACAAAGAAATGCTACACAAACAACCAAGCCCCCTCCCAGGCCCTTCTGCCAAGCCCTCACCCCCACCACTGCCACATCCAGCAGATGAAAGACCTGGTGGTACCTTTCAATGACTTTCCTCGACTGCCCTCTCTGACTGCCTTTTTTTTTTGTCTCCAGGGAGAAGGAGCCTTCCGGGGTGGAAACACACGGAAAAGCCTTGAGGAAGATGTAAGTATTCGGAAGGGAAGGAGGAAGGTGCGGCGAGTCCCTGGGGTGCGGGGGATGGGGGAGGCGGACGATGCCTAACACCTGTCTTGTTTGGTGGGCGTCCCTCGCAGCCTCTGTAGAATAGCTCAGCTCAATTCCGGAGTGGGGAGAGGGGCTGGGAGGGTGAGCAGGCCCCATGACTTAGACACTGGACCTTAGTCTTGGCTTCAGCCTCCAGCCCAGCTGGATCCAGAGTTGGTTTGTCCCTCACTGAGGCAGACCTTAGTGCTGCAGGGTGGGGATGGAGGGGAGCAGAGGCTGCTGTGCGAGGCCTCACTGGGTGGTGAGCAGTCACCAGGGCAACGGCCAGGGGAATGGGCAACACTGCAGCAAGAGGGACTAGGGGCAGAGATGAAGAGGGACTCCTGGGCTCTTGGAGGGCCATCAGCGCCTGGGGAATCGCAGGCTCTGCTTCTTCAGAGCGAGAAGCCTTTGAAAATGGGCTAAATGCCACTGATTCAGGAGGGAGCAGGAACATGGGCTGGTTGGTCTCATGGGCTCCTCCTGCCCTGTGGTTTTGGTGGAGGGCGATGGGCAAATTCCTTAAGTGGAAGGACCCCAGGGAAGGGAAGAGGGGCTCTCCTGGGACCCTGCTTTGAGCCGAACTCCTGCCTGGGCTTGTCCTCACACCACCCCAGGGGCAGATGCCCGGCAACGTCGGACCTTTCTCTTTTTTCCCTGCCCTTCTCTGACAATTTGCCCCTCTGCTGGCCTCTCCATCCTTGCCCGCCCTGATCTGCAGAGGAACAGGGAGTGGTTTTGGCGGTTGGCATGGGGGAGCTGTTGATGGCATGAGGCCCTATCATCTGACAGCTGCCTGACCCATGGCGGGGAGGGCCTTGGAGGGAGGCGCTGGGCTGCTGCAGGCAGCACACTTCTGTGGTGAGCCCACCACCTCCGTCACATTGCCCTGGGCCAGCCCCGCAAGGCCAGCCCGGCAAGGTGGAGGTGTCCCCCCGGGCCGCACAGGGCCCCGCCAGGAAGAGCAGAAACATGCCTCTCAAATTAATGGGCAAGGCTCTGTTCAAGGTACGCGCGGGTCCTATGGGCGTGGAGTACACATGCTGGGATGGACCCTTGTCCGAGTTTGTGATGTTTCTGGGGCTGGGGTACAGGGGAGAAAGTAATTTTCTTGTGTGCCTGCTACTAAAGGTTAACTAGCTTAATGCACACAAAGGGTATACTATGTGCTCAATAAATGTTAACCGGTCTTATTACTGTTATTTTGGCTAAGGGCCAGGAACTGGGCTGGGTATATATTTTGTGTGTGTGTGGGCCGTGCTGTGCAGCATGTGGGATCTTAGTTCCTCCACTAGGGATCAAACCCATGCCCCCTGAAGTGGCAGCGTGGAATCTTAACCACTGGACCACCAGGGAAGTCCCCATTGGCTGGGTATTTTTTGATCCCCGTGACATCCCGCTATGGCAAATGCTGTGGCCCCATTTTATAGGTGAGGAAACAGAGGCTTGGAGGGGCTCACTGACTCAATGAATGTCTTCTCCATCCCATCCTGGGACAGCTGCCTGGATCTGGTGTTTCCAGGGCTCCCAACCCATGGCCAGGGGACAGGGCGATGGCGTGTGAACCAAGCCTTTTAGCCAGTGGTCTGGACACTCTTATGAGCCGAGTCCTAGAGCAGTTGCTCCCCACAGCTGCAGCCTGGGCCAGACAGATCTTACAAGGTAAGGCGGCAGCAAGAGAGAGTGAAGTTAGACATCATGGAGAACTTTTTGATGCAAGGGTATGTATGACCTTGGTCCTGGAGAAGAAAGAGGTTGCCGCTTAGTTGGAATGAGAGGTTTTTTAGGAGAAAGTTCTGTTGATCTGGGATGAAAGTGTGTGTGTCTGTGCGTGCCGGGTGGGTAAGGGTGGCGTCTTGCCTGGGTATGGGAGAAGGGACAAGATGAGTTTGGGTCTAGTTAGTTTAGTTAAAGGAGTTCATGAAAGGCTAAGCAAGTGAGCAGATTGCAGAATGGCACAAGTACTGCAAAGGAAGAGAGAAAACCTAATTTTTGAGGATCCCAGACACCTGTCCCAGGTTGGGTGACTTCAGGGTCCCCTCCCCAGCCACTGGGCTCTCCTGCAGTCTGCCTCGGGTGAGGAGACCCGTTTCCGAAGCGGCATGGTTGCTGCTCTGGGCCTGCTGCTGTGATAATGTGCCTGTTTGTTGAGCTGTTTTCCTGTCTCTGGCCCGCAGCCCAGGACTCACAGGGCAGGAATGGCTGTTTTCCTCCAACGGGGTTGGTGTGTTGCAGAGTTTGTGGATGATGTGCTGTGTCGCACTTTGTTTTGGAAAAATCCAGGCGGGTGGGCAGGAAGGAGAGAGGAAGGGGTGTGGCTGGAGGGGCTGGTGCGGAGGGGAGGGGGTGGCCACAGCCCCCAGAGGAGTCATAGGGGTGGGGAAGGGCCCCTGACGTAGATTGGTCACCAATCTCTGCCTGCCTGACATGGCCCCTGGTGTTGCTTCCAGACCCTCCTCCCAACTGTGCCCCCTGGGGACGTGGGCTCCGGAAACAGCTTTTCTTTTGGTCCAGAGCTGTTGTGTTTGGTCTATGAACCTCAAAGGAAGGCAGGACTCTTCCCACACAGTCATTGCTCCAAACCAACCCCACCCAGGTCCTCGGGTTCCCACTCTTGCTACATGGCGGGGAAGAAGGCAAAAAACGGAGCCGAGGGTCATAGATCTTGAGCTGCCATGGAGCATCTATCTGAGCGGTGGGCTGCAGCTCCCGCCTGCAGTGAGGACCAAAGCCAACAGAGTTGGCCAAATCTGTAGCAGGAAGGGTGAGGGTTAGATACCAGGAGGAACTGCCTGATAGTAAGAGAAGTAAGACACTGTTTGAGGAAGGCTGTGGAATTTCCTTTCACAGTGTCCTTTAAGCAAAGGAGAGACTGTGTTTTGGTGATGATGATAGGGGAGAGATCTTTTTGCCTAGGGAGTTGGATCAAAAGTCCTATTATTGATCTATGTCTTGGGTGGAGCAGGGAAGAAGTTCAGAGCATGTGGGTAAAGGACTTTGACAGCCCCAGAGAGGAAAGGAATGGAATTACAGGCAGACAGAGAGCTTCTTTTTCTTTATAAAATAAAGCGTTTAGAGTACTCTTTGTAAAGCCCTCTGGTAGTTTTTCCTGGAGGCTCTAAGTGGAGCAGGTATATCACACAAGACTGTGCTGTACCCATTTTACAGATTGGTCAGTGAGACCAAGCGACTGCTTCTTACACTGGCTTCGTGGATGAGTATCTTCCTTCGTAGAATGTAAGCTCTCTGAGGTCAGGGACCTCACGCACAGCCGGTGGCCCTCGGTGAAGTTCACTGAATGAGAGAATGCACATGACGATGGGGAGCAGAGAGGACAGCCTCCCTCTTGAAAACGGCCTGTGTGATCAGGCAGCTGCCGAAGGTGCCCCGTCTCTAGCCCTGCATGTGGGAGGTCACTGTGTTTCCTGGAGCGTTAAGTTGTGTTGCTCACATGCTCCGCCCCTCCCCCGACCCATTTCTGGTTCTCCGGTTCTCCTTGTGACTTTTCTCACCAACCCTCAGACGTGTTACCTGTGCACGTCTGCTTTCTGCCAGTGAGTGTCACATGCCCCCAAACTTTGCAGAAAACAGGAAGCACTGTCAGTTAGAGGGCAGCCCAGTGATTCATCAGGGGATGACTGTCCAGCTGTTCGTCCCTGTCCTCTGTGCTGGGGTCACTGTCCAGGGCAGTCTCCTCCCCTGCCACCCCTCCCCCCACCCCCACCCCACAAGCCCGGCGGAGCAGAGCCGGCTTGGACTTTGTCTTATCACCTCTGGAGGCAGTATGGCCAGACTCTGCTGGGGCCAAGTTTTTATTTATCTTTCCTGGTTTTTTGGGGTGGGGAAGCTGAGGAATGTGGAGTGTTGTAACATTGGGGAGGGGGTTGGAGAAGCGAGCGGGAGCTGGCTCTCCTGCCCTGTCCATCCCTCTCGCCCCTGTGCCTGTGGCGGCTCCCCTGGCTCCCCTCAGCTCCTCAGTCCCCCTGCCAAGCCCGTCTCAATATCCCATTGTCTCTCTGAGCTCCCTGGGCCTGGCCCCGTGTTCCCGGCCACACCTCCAGCCTTGGCTATGGTTGTGGCTTCCAGTTGTTAGAAGCAGCTGTGGCAGCCTCCTCCAAACATGGCTGTGGATCAGCAGTAGATGGAACCCGAGGGGCTATTTATAGCAGGGTGGCCCTGGGGCCTGGAGCAGGGCCTAGGGCCTGGGGAGGTTCAGCGGCTCCTCATGAGGGACCAGCGAAACGGAGACGGATGAAGTGTTGGGTTTCTGCGTTCCTCTGAGTGGGTAGTTTTGGAACAGCCTGGTTTGGGTCTTGAAAACCAAACACAACTCAACCCCTCCTTACTGCCCCCGCCTTCACACCCCCCAGCCCCCAAGCCTGACTCATGCAAACCCAAGCCCTCAGAGCCAGGAGAGCTGGGGAGACAGAGAAACTTTCCACCCTGACAGCCCCCCTTGGCTGTTTCCTCCTCCTGCTGCCTCCAAGGCTGAGCTGTTCAGAGCTGGGCGGTGGCCCAGGCAGAGGGGACTCTGGCCGCAGCCTTCTTACGGGAGGCTGGGTGGAGGGTCCACCTCTTAGCGGGGCTGCCCTGAGTTTGGGCTCAGCTGGGAGCTGGGCCTCAGAGCCCACCCACCCCTGCCTCCTAGGCGCTGCGGGGCCTGGAGAGGGCTGAAGGGGGCTCCTCTTCTTGGCACCCCAGTGGTCCAGCCCGAAATCTGAGGGTGAATCTTGCTGGTCATCTGTTTCTCCTCTCCTTGGTGGACTGTGGTTCCGTCTCCTCCAAGAGGTAGATGCAACTTGGTGGTCAGGAAAGGCCGGTTTTGGGGAGGCTCAGGGATGTTTGGAAGGTGCCAGTGGGCTCAGAGGGCTCTGGCTGGGCCTGGGAATGTGCAGGTTGGACGTCCGATTCTGCATCGAGCGAGATGGCTGAAAGGATGGTGGCAGCTGGTGATGCAGGGTTTTGCTTTACTGTAGGGGTGAATGTTTGGCTGTATCGCTAACTACCCTTTTAATTGTACTTGATGTAATAATGGTAAGAGCGTCTAAGCGCCTTATATGCATAATTCCCTTTAATCTTCAAGCAATACCATAAGGATTGTTCCACCTCACTGGTGACATTATAGAGGCTCAGAGCGTTAAGTAATGCAAGGCTGCCCAGCAGGGTGCTGTGGGACTCGGATCCTGCACTTTCGTCACCGTGCTGTTGGGTTGCCCTGGGATGTTTTGGACACCGACTTGGGTCCATTTGCCTAATTTTGTACAAGTCGACAACCCTGGAGATGGGAATGGGTGAGGGGGGTAACAGACAATGGACAGTGGGTCCTTAGGAGCATGATTTGCTGCCTAGCCCTGGTTGGTGCACACCATGCCTGGCTGCTTCTTGTCTCAAAACTTGATTGAATGAGCCGGTGTTGCTGCTTTAAAGGAGGGGAATGTGGGCAGCTGGTGGTCAGAGGAGAAATGTTCAGAGCTGGACAGAGCGGGGCCGGTGCTCTCATCTTTCCTTCTTTCATGGTTGCCATCTCTATTCTCCACTTGGGGTCACTATTCTGACGTCCAGCGAATCCAGGTGAAATGCGTTTCCATCAGTTTAGTAACTTTTATTGAGTGTGTACTCAGCGCACATGGCACCAGCCCAGGCGTGGTGCATTTCTCGGCATTTGGGATTTCTCCCTTGCCCAAGGAAAGAGAGCCCTTCCCCTTGGGGGCTCGCAGGCACACTGGCGCGCTCATGTGGGATTGGCATTGATCGCTTTTGGCTTTGAGTGGCTGTGTTGCTGGGCTTTAGGGTGCCTGGGCTGGAATGTTGGCAGAGGCAGGAGAAGGGAATCTGTGTTTCCCCGTGGCCCTGACAGCTCTTGTGGACAGCTCTCTGCTGTCCTCCTGCCATCCAGCCGGCCACCGCCCTAACGCTGCTTCTCTCCTCTCTTTCCCAGAGCTCCACCAGAGTCACGCCAAGTGTCCAGCCCCACCCCCAGCCCATCAGGTATGCCTGGGCTATGGGGGACGCAGTGGGTGCAGGCAGTGAGGTCACTGTGGGCGTTCCCAGCAAGTCATGCCTCTGGGTCTCCGAGACCAAAGTCACAAAGCACGTGATAGGGAGCACGGGCGGACGTGGAAGCCACAGAGAGAGGATGCAGGTAGATGCCAGTGGGAAACTCAAAAGTTTTAGCTTGAAGCCAGTCCTTGAGCTGGATTCTTCATTTACCTGCATGATCTCATCTAGTCCTTGCAACAACCCTGCAAGGTAAGTATTTTATTCCCATTTTGCAGATGAAGAAACTGAGTCTCAGGGAGGTGGGGCGATTTGTTAAAGGTCACACAACCACTAAGAGGCAGCACTGGGTTTGCATTCAGGACCGGCTGGCGCTGATGCCTGTGCTAGATCCCGTTCTCCACAGGCAGAGGCTTCTGTTGTTGGAGGGTCATTTATAAAAGGAAGGTTCTCTGTCTGGCTGAGCTGGTGGGGGCTGGGGGAAGGGGATGCACAGGGGACTTTGCTCATCCAGAGTCTCTCTTTTTTTTTTTTTTTTTTGCGGTACGCGGGCCTCTCACTGTTGTGGCCTCTCCCGTTGCGGAGCACAGGCTCCGGACGCGCAGGCTCAGTGGCCATGGCTCATGGGTCCAGGCGCTCCGCGGCATGTAGGATCTCCCCGGACCGGGGCACGAACCCATGTCCCCTGCATCGGCAGGCGGACTCTCAACCACTGCACCACCAGGGAAGCCCCAGAGTCTCTTTTCTCTGGGTCCAGGTTCTCTGGTTTTTTGGCTTGGGCCCTTCCCTCTCTGACTCCCCCCTCGCCCCTGAGGCCCCTGAGATGAGTGAGAATCTGGCCCCAGGGATATGGACCACCAGTCAGAGAGGGTCTGGTGTGTAGCTGAAGCTCCCAGTGGGTTGTAGTCCAGCTGCCAGCTGTCCACAGAGACTGGTGGGGTCCTTTAGAGTATCCCCTCCTCCCCTACAGATGAGAATCACCTTGGGGTGGGTGGGTGCAGAGTGCGATGCTGAGATTGTCCAGGTGGTGGTGCTGTTCTGCCTTGAGTAGGAGCCCCACCCCCAAAGGCTGCAGGACAAGGAAAGACCCGAACTCAGAGGCCAAATTCAAAGTGGGCTCCCAGCGCACTGGCCCCTCTGCTACTTGGTCCCTGTCATTGCCACCACAGAGAAGCTGTATGTCACCCTTGGCTCTCCTGTTTCCAAGCCCCATCTACACAGTTGGGCTCGGAGCTAACCGTGGTGGAGATCTGTATTCTGTCCGGTTTCTTGGTGTCCCGGGGCTGTACCCCGATGCCACCCCATCACTTTGAAACACCCCATGGTATTCCTCCCGCTGCCCCTCCAGTCCCAACTTTACCCCTCAGAAGTGAAGGGTTATCAACATGAACTGTGAGTTGCCCACCTTGGGTAGAGAAGGGAAGCAGGACCCTAGGAGGCTGGGGTGATGGGGTAAGAAGGGGAAGGTGTGAGGTGACCCCAGAAACTACAGGTGGGCCTCAGAATGGAATGCCAGTGTCCTGAGACCCATTTCCCCTTCCCATCAGCTCCCCAGTGGGCACCCTGGACCCTCCTTTGGAAGAGCAGTTGGGTGAGGTGTAAAGGTGTGAGACCCCACCTCCCCTCACCCGGTGCCCAGCCCAGGGGGCTCCCCACCTCTCTGAGGAGCTCAGGTGGCACTGGGATGTCGGGGGTCACCTGCCACTGCAGCAGCCCCCTCTGCTTCCTGAGCCCCTAGAAATCAGGGAGGCCACTGGTAGGAAGCAGCCCTGCGGGGCAGTGGGAGCTGCCAGAGGTGGGGAGAGAGCCAGGGAAAAAGGGCAGGAGCTGTCCTGCCTCTGGGGAGGCCTGGAATGTGTGCTGTGGTCTGGCTTACCTGGAGCCCAGGTGAGCATGTCACCTGAGCTGCCCCTGCTCCTGAGGGGCCTCCCCGCCCACTCCACAGCTCAGAGCAAGGGGAGGGCAGCAGAAGGCTAGCTTCAGGATGCGAGAGGACCCAATTCAGGCTCTCCTTCCTCTTCCGGAGCCGTCCGGGGATCCTTCGAGAAACTGCTGCCAGACCAGGCAGCCGCAGTATATTAGGAGGCTGAGCTGGACTCCCGGGCCCTGGCTGGTTCCGGCCCTGGCTCTGACCTCTGACCTCTGGGATCACAGGCTGAAGGCCATGCCGACAGGATTGATGAGCACCTAGCAATGGCGTCATCACTCTTTGGCTCTGAAATGGCCTGGGATCCTTGCCAGCTCCTGCCCAGCTCTGTTATCCCCGGCGCTCCCAGACTGGGCTTGTGGGCTGCACTGGCCTTGCCAGGGGAAGGCTCTGGCCTTGGCTCTGGGTCAGGAGGCAGCCAAGCCCCCTGGGTTAGATTTGGGGGCCACGTATAGTGTGTAGGGGGTGTAGATCCCTGGACCTTGTCCTGGGGGCCTGGATTCTGATCAGGACCCGCCTCTGCCTACTGTCTCCCCAGAAACATGAGTGTGAGCCGGGCCGCGGAGGACAGCTGTGAGCTGGACCTGGTGTATGTCACTGAGAGGATCATCGCCGTCTCCTTCCCCAGCACAGCCAATGAGGAGAACTTCCGGAGCAACCTCCGTGAGGTGGCCCAGATGCTCAAGTCCAAACATGGAGGCAACTACCTGGTGAGGAAGGGGCCCCTTGCTCGCTGGTCCAGTGCCCCGTCCTTTCTGCTTGCCACCTCCTCCTGCTGGTGTCTTGTCCCACCTGCCCCTGAGCCAGCTCTTCCTCTTCTCTCCCTGCACCTGCCCTTGGCCCTAAGGAGTGTCTCTGCAGCTGGGATGCAGCATCTGGAGCCAAGTCGTGTGTGTGTGTGTGTGTGTGTGTGCTTGCGCTTGCGCTTGCTCTTGTCCATGTATGTGTGTGTGGTTTGTATGTATGTGTGTGTGGTTTGTATGTTTGTGTGTACGTGTGGGTACGCGCATGTGCGTGTGGGTGTACGTACGTGTGTTGACCAGGAGGAGAGAATAACGGTAAAAGCTCACGTTATTGAGCCCTGGTGATGAGCCAGGCCCTGTTCTAACTCCTTTCCACGTATTTAACACCACGACAGTCCTAGGAGAGCACAGAGATGTGGGGTATTTGTCTAAGGTCACAGAGTCAGGAAGTGGCAGAGGTATCACACTGTCGGTGCCGCTGAGCAGTCTTAGGGCGGAGTTGTGGCAGACTGTGTCTTGAGAGACCAGGTGTTGCTGACACCGGGATCATACCTGGTACAGGAGGATCTCCTAACCAGTGTGGAGGAAGTCCCCTCCACCCCCCACCATGGTCTCTAATGTCAGAAGGGCTGCCCTGGGGGATTGGATCTATCCTGGCCCCATAGGAGCGCTCAGGCCTGCTTTACAGGGAGGTACTTGTGGGCTGGACCCACAGATTGGACAGACCATCATGAGGGGCTGCCCTGGGAGGTCTGAGCACAGGTGGGGTGTAGGGGCTGTATTAGGTCCCTAGGGCTGCTGTAACAAATTACCACAAATTAGGTGGCTTAAGACAACAAAATTAATTTTTTCACAGTCTGGAAGCTAGAAGTCCAAATCAAGGTGTCAGTGGGGCCATGCTCCCTCTGAATCCCGCAGGGGAGAATCCTGCCTTGCCTCTTCCTATCTTCTGGTGGCTCCCGGCAGTCTAGTGGCTCCTTGGCTTTTAGTAGCCTTGCTCTAGTCTCTACTTCTGTCATCATGTGACCTTCCTTCTTTCCTGTGTCCGTGTGGCCTCTCCTCTTCTTATAAGGACACCAGTCATTGGATTTGGGGCCCACCCTGAATCAAGGATGATCTCATCTCCAGATACTTGACTACTTACATCAGCAAAGGACCTATTTCCAAATAAAGTCACATTCTGAAGTTCCGCGTGGATGTGAATTTTTGTGGGATACTATTCAGCCCTCTACGGAGACCCATCCGTCAGCTGTGTTGGGCGTTGTTAAGAGTCAGAATGTTCTGGGTTGGAATGCTGCTGTGCTCTCCCCAACTATCTGACCTTGGCACTTAGCCTCATTAAGCCTTAGGATCCCCATCTGTAAAATGGGTCTACTTACCTCTATGGTTGTGGAGAGAATTAAGGCAGGTGGTAGATGTAAAGTCCTTAGTGCGGCCTGGCAGGCTGTGGACACTGTAACACTGAAGTGTTAGCCATTGTTAATGGCATAAAGTGTGTTCCTTTATGGCCTCAAGAGTGGACCAGAAGCCATCTAAGATCCTGCCCTATTTCAGAAGCCCAGGATTCCATGGGTTTTTGGTGCATCCTGCCCGTTCCAGACCCTGCAGTCCTCTTCTCTCCCCAGGCGACATCACAGGGGTCTTGAGTTTCCCAGACCATGAGGTGGTTGTGGGGAGTTCTGCACGCCTCTTTCAGAGGTGGAGAAGGGAATCCAGAGGTTGAGGGATTCCTGTGGGTTGTGGTCAGGTGTTGGGGGGTGTCTGCTGGGAGAGGGGTATCAGGGGTCTGAGAGGGCTGACCCAGCACAGTTTGCACCCTCCTATGGAGGGCGTCCGACCACGGAGCAGTTACATCTTCGTGCGGTGAGCTTCTGAAGTCGACATGTGAAGAGGAAACCAGAGATGGCCAAATGCTTATCGTTTGACACTACTGGATTTCCATTCAGCGTGGAGAGATGCCCACCTTGGGGGTGGCGTGTGGGACTTGAGACAGGTTCTGTCCCCTTCTCATCTTCAGTTTAGGATGTCCGCTCATCCAGGGGAGTGGCTGGGTGTCTACATACTTGTTTCTCTCTCCCTCTTTATCCTGAGAACCTGTAGTTGAGTTCCTGTCCATCAGTGTGTATCTGGTAGGACTCCATGTATGGTCGTGTAGGTAGAATTTCCAGCAGGGAGGAGAGAGAGAGAGAAAGAAAGAGAGAGAGAGAGAGCGCGGGAGAGAGAAAGGGCCAACCTTCTCACAATCTCTTCCTTTTCCTCCTTCTAGCTTTTCAACCTCTCTGAGCGGAGACCTGACATCACGAAGCTCCACGCCAAGGTGAGTCCGTGGCTGTTTGGGGTGGGGAGGGATTCTCCCTGCCTGGAAGAGGGAACAGGGGGGCTCCCTTCCTCTGAGGTTCCCACATTAGATCTTGGGGGAAAGTGCTATGACAGTTTGCAAAGCCTATTCAGACTTAACAGTGCCATCTTCTATTTGGAAAATAGAAAATAATATATTTATTGTTTCTATAATACGAAGTACAGAAAGCAAAGCTCAATGCAGTGATTTCCACCAAGGTCTGCCACCTGTGGTGCACACAGAGCCTCTGGGGTGGGGCTGGAGCTGTGAGATTTTGAGTCTTATTGAAAAGTATTCTGGATTTAAACCAGCTGGGAATCACCACCGTAGACCCTCCTACAGCCAACTTTCTTTCACTTGCTGTTCAGTGCGCTGTGTTTGGGCTTTGTGTGCCCATCTGCTCCGGCCCCTGGATTATGGTGCCTGTCGCTGTGTGACCTTGAGAGGGTGGCAGACTTCTCTGGGCCTCAGTTTCCACCTCTGAAAGTGGACGGGCTGGATTAGATGTGCTCTCTGGGCCCTTCCGAGCACAGATTTTCTTTTACTTTAAAGTTTTGTGAGTTAAGAAAAGGTTGAAGGAGCCTGATGACTGCTATTCAGATCTGCTCTCTGTCTCGCTCAGGCCTCCTTCGGCTGGCCTGAAAACTTGATGGTTTGTGTGTCCAGGGCCTGGAAAAGAGCCGTGAACAGGCTTCACCTTTCCTTCTTCCTCCCTGACCCAGATCTCAGGGTTATCTGTGGGAGGAGAGCTGGGGAACAATGCTGGAAGCTCCCAGCACATTTTAAGGTCACAGTCATATGGAAGGGACCTGGGGCCATCGGCTCTAAGCCTTTGCTTTATGCACAAATCAGAAACGGGGGCTGGCAAAGGGGCTGTGACTGGCCTGAGGCCCACAGGGAACCAGTGTCAGAACCCAGGGTCTGTAGGCCCAGGTCAGTGTCCTTTGCCTCCTCACCCCTGCCTTCCAGAGTGTTGATGTGCAGGGCAGAAACTGAGGCCCCACTGCTGGTGGCATTGCTGTGGGGCTGGCGCGTGGCGTGTGTGGGCACCTCCCTACCCCCCCCGCCCGTTGACTCTCTGGACTTCTGCCGCTTCTCACTCATGGCTTGGGCCACAGGTACTGGAATTTGGCTGGCCCGACCTCCACACCCCAGCCCTGGAGAAGATCTGCAGTGTCTGCAAGGCCATGGACACTTGGCTCAACGCAGATCCCCACAATGTTGTCGTTTTACACAACAAGGTCAGAGCGGGGGCTGCAGGATGTCTCTGTGTGTGTGTGTGTGTGTGTGCGTGTTCGTGCCCATGCACGAATATATTCTTGGATGAGTGTATGCACCTGCCCGTATCACTGGATTGTGTGAGTGTGCAAGTTTGTTTGTGTGTACTCTCCTTGGGGATAATCGATTCTGTCTGGGGTGCACCCCCAGGAAGTGGAGGTACCAGCCCGTGGGTCACTCAGGTGTGGTGGACGATCTGCTGTGTTTCTTCTTTTTGAGACTCACCCCCCATCCGCTTCCTCCCTCCTCCGATTCTCCCTGAGAACCCGCCCCTCTCTGCAGCCCCTGCCCGCCTTGCTCTGGGGCAGGAGGGCCAGCCTTAGAAGTAAAGGCTTTTGTGTTTCGGGGCTTTTTCAGGGAAACCGAGGCAGGATAGGTGTTGTGATCGCGGCTTACATGCACTACAGCAACATTTCTGCCAGGTAAGAGGGCCCCGAGCCTCCCATTCTCTGAATATTGACAGCAGAGCCCCCTTCCCCCACCCACCCAAGGCCTCTCCCTCCCTTGGGGTTGGAGGATAAGGGCAGAGGAGGTGAGAGGTGCTGAGGACAGGGGGAGGAGCCCCTGGAAAGGAGAATGTCCCTGCCCTCAGCTCTGGGACAGGGGCCCTTGGACAGAGCAGGAGAGAGGAGACACCATCCCTCTGTCTGGGGCCCTGGGGACGGGCAGCCGTGGGAGGCAGGCCCATGGATGGACATCCCGTCCAGTCAGCTTCTTGGGGCTACTTTTCTTTGCCCAACTGCCTTCTGTTTACCTGAGTGAGCAGAGAGGGAGTCACAAAGAAATACTGGATCACATCTGGGTCCAACAGAGCCATCTGGAAGGTTTCTCATCTATTCCCCTGCTTCTGGCCAGCAGGGGCATCTTCCCGCTTAGGTGTTTTGCATCAAGAACAGGAAACAACCAATGGATGATTCTCATTCTGATTTGGATTTTCAGAGAGGCGGAGGAATTCCTCCATTCATTTAGTCATTTGACGACAGTTATGGAACAGCCACTGTGCAGGCGGCTCTAGGTGCTGGAAGTAGAGCAGTGGGCAAAGCCAGGCCACTGCCCTCCTGAATGTGAAATGAGTAAACGAACACATCAGTAAGAGCAGGTGATTGAGTACTTTGAAGGATGGAGACTAGAGCAAGACGGTGGGGAAAGGAGGCCTCTTGAGGAGGTGATATTTGAGCAGAATTAAGTGGCGAGAGGGGGGAAGAACTGAGTCCTATACAGTCCGTGGGGGCGGGGGTGGGTGGTGGCAGGGGACCTTCCAGGCAGAGAAGAGGGAAGGACAAAGGCCAGCAGTGGGAATTCGAGGGGCTGGCGTGTTTGGAGAGCCAAGTGAGTGAGGGGATGAAGAGTGGGAAGTGAAGCTGGGAGGAGGCGGAGCCCGGGGGCCTTGTACCCTTGATAAGGACTTTGGGGTTTATTCTGAGAGGGATGGGACCTCGTTGGAGAGTCAAGAATGGAGAAGCTATGTGATCTGTCTCTTTAAAAAATGATCTCTTTGAGGATGGGTAGAATGCTCTATGAAGGGCTTGCAGGTAGTTTTATGACTTTAAGAAACCTGACCCAGCTTGATCTTTGCATAATGGTCAACATTTCCTGTGCACCTACTGTGTGCCCACATGTGCCAAGCTCTTTATACATGTCATCTCACTCAATTGCCACAACAGCCTTCAAGGAAGGCACGGTTATCACCTCATTTGACAGGAAAGAACAATCAAGTCCAGGAAGGTTAAGTAACCTGCCCCAAGTTGCAGGGCGACTAAGCCAGTGATGAGTTTGAGATGGGCTCCCAGGCTGCCTGGCTCCAAGGCCCGTGTGCTAAGCAGTGCAGCACACAGGATGGAGAGATGCTGGGGCAGCCCTTTCCTGAAGGCATCTCAGGACAGAGTGGCCGGAGGGCTCTGCGGGTCTGGGAAGCAGGGCTGGGTGGACAAGGGACCCGTGGAGGTTGACCCCTCTGACCACCTGTCTCTCCCCACAGTGCCGACCAGGCCCTGGACCGCTTTGCAATGAAGCGGTTCTACGAGGATAAGATTGTACCCATTGGCCAGCCATCCCAGAGGAGGTAGGTCTCCAGGGCTCTCGGCCCAGTGCATGTGTGTGTGCGTGTGTGTGCGTGTGTGTGCTCGCTGTATGTGGGAACTAGCCTCGTGTACCTATGGTGGGGGTGTACCAAGCATGCATGTTCAGGTGCCAGCCTGCAGGGGTGGGAGCTCAGGGACATGGGTGAAGCCGTGAGCAGCTGTGTGTGCTCACAGTGGTGCATGGCAGTTGGCTCCCGAGGTTGGTGCCAGAGAGCAGCAGGGGCAGCAGTGGGGGAGGTACAGGAAGACAGCTTGTATAAGAAGGCAGTGCCTTTCTTGGTCCTGGCAGCAGGGCTGCTTCCGTGTTTTGATGGGTCTACAGGAGGCTGATGTCACTGCCACCTGCCCTGAGGAGGTCACAGATGTTCGTGATAAGGGTCACCTTCTGCTGTGAGAGCTTTAAAATTTTACAACGGTCTCTCACCCTTGTGGTCCCCAACAGCCCAGGCAGGAATCAGGACAGGGATGGATTCCTTCATTCATTTGGCAGATTTTAGGTACTCTAGTATGTTCCAAGTGCTGGAGGTATCTAGTTGGACAGGACAGAGTCTTTTGCCCTTAGTGAGCTGACATTGTATTGGGAAAGATGGACATTACACAAGTAAATAAACCTTCAAGGTCATTTCAGACAGTGGTAAGTGCTTTGATGGGGAAAAAACCAAAACAGAACACGACGGGCTAGAGAATGACAGGGGTGGACGTGAGGGGCTGATTCCAGCGTGCTGACCTTCCTGAGAAGATAACATGTGAGGTGAGGTCTGAGAAGGGAGAAGGAAACATCTAAGTAAAGGTCTGGGGTAAAGGGTCCAGGTAGAGGGAACAGCAAGTATAAAGGCCAAAATGTCTCACTGACTTTTCTATCCCTTCAGAACACTGACTGGGCAAGCAGGACCCCCTAGCTACAGATCCTGGAGCTTTTCAGCCTCTCCATGCCGGGGGTCCCCAACTCACACCCCGTCACCCCTACCTTGCCTGGCTAAAATGTGCCGGCACCACTGGGGACTGTTTCCACCATTGTAGCAGGAAGCCCAAGCAGAAGTGAGTGAGTCCTCAGGCAACCAGCGCCTTACAACTGGCACAGGACAGCTGGTAGCCAGCCTCTGGGTCAGAGATCAGAAACGGAATGTCTTTATGTGCAGAAAATTCTGACTAGGCTGCCAGACACAGCAGCTGTGGATCAGTGAGAGTCTTTCCAGGGAAGAAGTCTCAGGGAGGAAAGAAGTATTATTTAAGATCCTGACTTGCTACCTGTGGCTGGTGGCCTTGGTCATGAGTCTGGCCCTTGACCTGGAAAGATAAGAGGTTCAAATAGAGGAGCACGATGTTGCGATGGCACAACGTGGCTTGGAGAGAGAGGGCAGAGCTGTCACATTTCTGAAGCAGAAAGCCTGGAGAATGGGGATTAGTGTTACCTCTCAGGACCAGGATTGTTCAGGGATTCCACCGTGCTCAATGTGTGCTTACGTAGCATGCCGTCGGGGTGTGTGTGTGTGTGTGTGTGTGTCCATGTTTACATTATCTGTATCTGCTGTGCAGCTCGTATCTGCAACCGCATGTGCTCATGGGTGGGTAATTCCGTCTGTGCCCAGATGTGGAAGTGCAGCTGCTGGGAAAGTGGCATTTCTTGCCACTTTCCCGCCTTCTTGTCAGTGTCGCTTGCAGGGATTGGAGCAGCTGGAGGAGAGGAGGGCAGGGGGAGAGGGAGGGAGGGGCTTTGCCTGCAGCTCCCCCATTCATTGTCACCCCACCCCGGGCTCATTGTCCCCAGCACACAGACACATCCTGTTGGCACGATCAGAAGATCTGATAGGAACCCGCCATTCCAGGTTTCCGGTTTGAGCAACGGGGCTGGGGGCTGGGCAGGGGCCTGAATAGGAGCTCGTGCTGCCCATCAGATTATCTTGCTGGGATAGTCCAAGGTGGCCCCACCCCAGCCCAGGGACAGAGGCCCACAGGCCTGGAGGTGGGCCAAGGAGCCAAAAGACGGGACGGGACCATTGTCATGGTTGTGAGAGTTCTGGTCTCACTGGCCTCAAATCAGAATGCATTCTGATTGGTCCAGCTGACCCAGCTTGGCGTCCTCTGGCCAGTCAGAAAAGGAGGACACACCAACCAAAAGGATTGGCCTCTCCTAGTAGATGCACTGGAGTGAGACTGCTTCCCTTCTCCTCCCACCTGCTCTCCTCCCACCTTTGTGTGCTCTTGCAGTGTGCCTTTGGGAGGCTGATGACCCTTTCTGGACCTAATTTTCCCTCTCTTCTAGAAGGAGTGGGGATGGCTTATTCCTTCCATTCTTCCAACGAGATCTTTGTTAAGGGAATTGGGGCATGTTGACCCTAGAGATAGGAATACTTAGTGGAAGTTAGATATCCTCTAATATCAAATATGGTACAGAGGAATTTTGTACCCTTCAGCGTGATATAAAAAAATGAAGGACTAGAATCACTAAGCTCTTACTATTTGCTGGATTGTCATGTGGTTGGTGGGTCTTGTGGGAGCAGAACTGGGGCCTGTGGGTACAAATGCAAAGTTGGTTTGGGCTCGGTGTAAGGCTGTCAGAGCTGTCTGATGGTTGATCACCCTGCCTTGTGCGGTAGTGAACAGCTAAATGATGCCTGTCAGGGATGTGTGGGAGGGCATTTGGTCCAGCAGGAGGTTCCTGGGCCGGGAGTGAAGCAGGAAAGAGATGGCCACATTGACCACCAGGAGGCGCCAGAGAACCCCAAGTGGGAGGTTTGGCTGGATCCCACTCCAGATGTAGTAGTACCTGTTCGTGTTCCTGGGGCTACCGGCAGCAAGGATGGAGACCCCACCTGCCAGGAGGCCTGGGGGTTGGTGGTGGTGGGGGGCTGTTGGCAGGGCAACCTAGGGCAATATGCCGGGGGGAAAAGAGAACAGAATGGCTCTGCTCCAGCAGAGGCCTCCCTGGCTGAAGCTGCCCTTCTCCCTGCTCCAGGTACGTGCATTATTTCAGCGGCCTGCTCTCTGGCTCCATCAAAATGAACAACAAGCCCTTGTTTCTGCACCACGTGATCATGCACGGCATCCCCAACTTTGAGTCTAAAGGAGGTACTTGCCCGAGCCCTCTAGCTTCCATTCCCCTCCTGTCTTCCATCTCTTTGTCTTAGGAGGCAGCCTTGGGGGGTAAAAATACGGGCTAGCTGCAGTCTTAGGCTTGGAGTCTCAACTGTACCACTTCCTATTTCTCTGAGCCCCAGTTGATTCATTTGCAAAATGGGTTGGATACTGGCAGTGCCTGTGGGCAGGTGACGCTGGACGGTGTAGTGTTTTTGTAAACTCAAAATGCCTTTGAAATGAAAAGTTAGCATGTCTTCCTCTTTCTTTTTCCATTTCCCCTTCCTCTTTTCCTCCTTCCCTTTCTTCCCTTTCCCCCTTTCTTCCCTTTCCTCCTCCTGGCCGATCCTTCCTTCCTTCATCTCTCCTCTCCCCCTTCCTCCTCCCGCTGTTTCTGCTGTCTTGGCTAATAGCACCCCTCCCTTACAGGGTGTCGGCCATTTCTCCGGATCTACCAGGCCATGCAACCTGTTTACACTTCTGGTATCTAGTAGGTATTCCACAGGGATGCTGGAGGTCCAAGGCTGAGGACTGGGGGCTGGGGGCCGGGGCTGGGGGCTGCCTAGGACCTTTTCTAGGAGGACTTCTAGGGTAGGGCTGAGGGATGGGTCAGCGAGCTTTCACAATAGCCCCCTGGCAGAGGGGCAGCTGGGAGACAGTGCACTGCCCGGCCGCCCCAGCAGCCCTCTGTCCCTCTGCCTGCCTCGCTCCCATAGCAACGTCCAGGGAGACAGCCAGACCAGCATCTGCATCACCATCGAGCCCGGGCTGCTCTTGAAGGGAGACATCTTGGTAAGCTGCCCCTCTGTCTCAAGCCCCCGCACCGCCGTTGAATTTTTCTTCCTTTTCTCTTCCTCCTCCCCTTCTGCCTCTCTGGACAAGAGCGTCCCTCCTGGTGGGCCACCAGCCTTGGGGTCCTTGGCTCTCAGGGGCCCTGCAAGGCCTTCCAACCTTGACGGTCCTTGTCCATCCCCTGCCTCAGTGTTGGATGTGCCTTCGCCCGGGCTTGCCTCTTGTTCTGGAGTATCTCCAGGGACATACGTCTCTGTGTGAGCTGTTACCTCCGGGCTTCCTGCTGGTGACAAGGACTCCCTCAATTGTAACTTCACTCCTTCCTCCTGTGATTGAAATCCACTCCTACGTTGCCCGTTCTGACTGGTGTACAGGAACTTCTTGGGAGGATAGCTTTGTCCCCACAGGGCAAGGCTGGCTGTCAACTCTCTGCTGTTCTGGAAGTTTCCGCAGAGAGCTCTGAGATCCTGTTTGGGGTTGGTGACCTTTTCCTCACTGGGTTTGGGGCTTAGTCGTGGAGCTGATAAGGAGGCCCCTTGGGACTAACTTTCCACCTTCGGCCCCTGATGGGCTCTGCTGTCTTTCCCACCCAGCTGAAGTGCTACCACAAGAAGTTCCGGAGCCCAGCCCGAGACGTCATCTTCCGCGTGCAGTTCCATACCTGCGCCATCCATGACCTGGGGGTTGTCTTTGGGAAGGAGGACCTCGACGATGCCTTCAAAGGTGGACTCGCTGAGTAGAGAGGCAGACCTAGCAAGGAATAATTAGGCCACAGGATAGGAGAGCAGTAATGGAGGGGCTATGGCAGCAGTGAAGGGTGACCGTTTTCCCACGGGAAGGGAGGTGTTCCGGGAGCTGTCTCCCTTTGCTTCTTTCCTCGATCCGTTTAAGGTTTTATCTGTATTACATTCAGGCCCAGGACGTGTCCACATCCATCCACCCATCCACCCATCCATCCATCTGTCCATGTATAAGTCCACCAGCATCACTGTGTGTCTGTATGTGCCAAGCATGCGCTAGACCCTGGTGATACAAAGAGAAAGACGTCAGGCCCTACCCTCAGGGAGCTCACAGTCTTATGGGAGAAAGACACAAACAGACATGATACTACGAAGTGATGCTTGCGGTGATGGAGATATACACAGGCATGATGGGTGCTCCAGGGAGCCGACACCACCCCTGCTGTAACTTCCCTTCCTGCAAGCAGTGAATGGTGATCTGTGTGCACATTGGGCTCAGGCAGAGATCAGAGCGTGGGGCTGGGGCTGTGAGGAGGAGAGGCCTGATCCCCCAGTGTGGTCTGGCTCATGCAGGAGAAGGATGTTTCTATGATGAGGTTTCCCTGTACCGGAGCCAGGAGCAAAAGCAGAAGATGCTGTTATAATTGCAGAAGAGAATGTAAATGTCATCAGTCTTAACAAAGAAAGTAAGAGAATAGCTGACAAAATAAACGTAGAGTTGCGGAGAGGTGGGAGAAGGGAGGGGCCCAAACTTCCTCCTCCTCCATGGAGGGAATCAGGGCACCATCGGAAATGGACAGATCAAGAAATAGAGGCTTAACCGTCGTATTGAAAGTTTCAGAGGTAATCAGAAGGGTGAACTAATAATGATAACAGTAGTCATAGTAATAATAATAATAAACCAGATTTAAGAAGGGAGGTGGGAATACTATAAGTGATCCAAATTGTTCTTCTTCATAGTGGTGAATCAGTGAAGATTATTTAAAACTGACATATCTAGAAATAGTGGCATAAAAACTGTGGCTATTATTTAGGGTCTTAGAGGTGACTGCTCGTAGAACAAGAAATAGAAATGCTAAGAAATGGTTACCTCAGACAGGTAAGACAGGGCGAGGGTGGGTGGGAGACTTAATGTCATTATGTGTACTACTTATTATATTATAAACCATGTATACATGTATTACTTTAAACTTTTCTAGAAGAAAACTTTTTGTGTAGTCCTCTTTTGGGAATCAGTTGCCCATTTTTGTTTTTCCTTCTCCTTTTTTCAGATGATCGATTTCCAGAATATGGCAAAGTTGAATTTGTGTTTTCTTATGGACCAGAGAAAATTCAAGGTAAATGCCAAGTTAGAATCCATTGATTCATTCCCTTCCCGCCACTCTGCCCTGCCCCACCTCAACCATTTTCCCACTGATCTGCTCTACAAATATCAAGTTACCTGTGGTTGAGAGTCAGGCCAGGAGTAAAAGATCTGGGTATCATAGTGGACCCCCAGCTAAACATGAACCAGTGACTTAATCTCTGGATAATAAAAATAAAAAAGTAGACAGAGAGGCGCTGGGTTGGATAAACTATTCTGGCCCCATTAGGTCATCATCCTATTATATTCAGAGACTGAAGGCTATGGTGGCTAGAGGGAGTGGCCAAGGGGACTCTCAAAGGTGCTGGATGTACGATAAGTATTTATGAGAGCTGAGGTGATTCAACCTGAAGATGAGAAGGCCAATTTAATAATAGCCTTTAAGCCGTTAGACTGGTTGTATGTGGGGACCAGTTGTTCTTCATCTTATTTGGGAACAGAATAGGAAGAGGTGAAGTCAGGTTACAGCAGAGGGACTCTGGGCAGACTAAAGAAAGGACTGCTGGGTCAGGAAGGTAACTCACCCAGAAGGCCTGACTTGCATCCTGGGCTTTCTCTGGATGTGTAGGAGAGATTCTGCCTCTCTCCTCAGATTTCTGCCTGCAGTGGCAAGCATCTTAAGTGGAAGGGCAGGGGGATGGCTGGGATGACCTGTGTCCTCTCAACGTCAAGGCTGTGATTTGCCTGCTGTCCGTGACCCCGTGCGGCCCATCACAGGCCTCTCCTGCACTTCCCCCTGACTCCAGGGCCAGACTCTCTGGACTCTTGGCACTGTCCCAGGGGTCCCTGGGACACAGAAGAGAAAGAGGCAGCCACCCAGCCAGCGGGTCCCCCAGCTTTCTTCTAAAGGGTCTTTGTTGCTCAGTGCTGCTGTCCTCATTTACCCTTATGACCTGGTGTGAACCTTTTCAAGAATGCAAGAAACCAGACTCCTGGGTCCTCCATCCAACTTAAGCGAGTGGTCCTGCCTCGCCATGGTCAAGAAAATGAGAAATCCCTTAGGGAGCATCCTTAGGGAACTTGTTGGTTTCCTCTGTTTTTCCGGCTGCTGATCGGTTTTTTCTTTTCTCTTCACGGTTGTCTCCGCCTTTCCCATTTTCTAAGGCATGGAACACCTGGAGAACGGGCCAAGCGTGTCTGTGGACTATAACACCTCCGACCCCCTCATCCGCTGGGATTCCTATGACAACTTCAACGGGCATCAAGATGATGGCATGGAGGGTAGGTGGGACCAGTGGCTTCCAGCCCCTCTGCGACTGCACAGCCCCTGCTCACATGGCCTCGGCTCTCTCGGTTTGCTATGACACCATACTGGGTTCAAAGGGAGGGGAGGTGCAGAGGAGAGGTCCAAAGCACCTCTGAGAGCTCACAGTTCAGTGGGGGAAGATAAAACAAAACAGGAATGAGCTAAAGAATGAAGCAAAAGAGCCATACAAGGGTGTATCCTTGGTGCCGAATGAGTCCCATAGGCAGTGAATGCTCTGAGATTGGCAGGGGATGGATTCTTGAGAGGTAGAGTGGTCTGGGAGGGCTCCTTGGAGGAAGTGGCCTTGCGTGGAGCTTGAGATACCCTCCTGTGCTTAAAATACAGCGTTTGTTAGATTTCTTTTAACCCCGTTGTTGGATTTCTCCAGGCTCCCTGCCCGAGTTCTCTGGGGTCAGGGTACTGGGAAGGTAGACACAGCATTTAGGATCCACAAGCTTTCATCAACAGCCAATGAAAATGTTTGTGAGCTGGAAACAAACTGGTCGGCTCCAAAATTTGAAAAGAAAGCAGCAGAATTGAAATTAATATTTGTTTAATTTAGCAACAAAACCTAACATAATGTCAAATGGTCATCCACAGCTCAGTTCAACTCCTGAGAGTTATGTATGCGTTCTGTTGATTTATGTGGTTGATTTATGAGTATGTGTGATGGGATGCAGGGCGGGGCCTCTGAGAATGAGCATGTCTGGAGCTCAGGAACTCTTGAGACACCCTGCCTGGAGTTTGGCCACAGGCTTGTTACCCTGATTTGGTCCCAGGATCACGGAATGTGGAAGCTGGGAGGACCTCAGGACCGTTGGCCCATCCCCCTTCAGTTTTCAGCTGGGGTAACTGAGACCTGCGTCCGCCCCCCGGCCCAGAAGGAAGCATCTCTTGATTTACTCCCATGGCCAGGATATGTCCTTTCAAGGACACCAGCACCCAGCCTCTGTGCTTCTCCTCCCAGCTGAAGCTTGTCCTGGGGTGGGGACCCTGGGCCATGTGGCAGAGCTGGGTTAGGTAGACCAGGGACCCTCACCCTGGTCTCCACCTCCAAGGTTTTGGATTTTTGACTCCACGCTGAAAGTCTTTTAGGCCTTTTCCTGTATAAAGATTCTCCCTCTGACCTTAGAGACACCAGAATGAGCAATGCAGTTCAGAGGGGGTGGGATGAGGGCGATGCTTAGGCTAGAATTTAGGGTTTGATGGGAGAAGTTCATGTGCAGTGTTGCAGTGGTGCAAGTTTGTCCTCTCCCTACCTAGTTCCCGCACTTCTCCCCCACCCCTCCAGGGGCCTAGCCCCTCCCCCGGGCCCCCCCCTTACCAGGGTGGGTCTTCCCCCCCCCCCCCCCGCCAAAGCGCTCCCATTCCTGCTCCAGCCACATCCCCTTGTGCCCTGGAGCTGGGGAGAAGGCAGAGGATGAAATGAATCAGTCCTGAGGTACCGGTGGCTGCCAGCCTAATTCTTCATCGTTCTGGGGATGTTTGCATTTTTAACAAGAACACTTGGCAATTGGAAGGAATTTTCAATGTCTCTCCATCTCTCCCTGGTGTGGATTCAATGCGATGATAAATGTAAAAACATTTAGTAAACTATAAAGTGCTAGGCAAACAAAAGGTAAAACAATTAAGGGGAAAGGAGGGGCTGCGGGAAGGATGGGGCTTGGGACACAGTCAGCCGTGAGGGAAGGAAGCAGGCGGACTGATCAGGAGGCTGGGACCAGAGGCAGGGAAGGGGGAGGAAGGAAGGGGAGAGGGGGGCCCCGGGCTCCTCTCCCTCCCCCTTGCCCGCCCTCCTCTCTCCTCCGATCTGCTCTCCCAGGCAGAGGAATGGAACCAGTAGGATCTTTTGGCCAGTTAAAGGTCAGCTCGTCCCGTAGGGACAGAGGGGCTCCTGTCTGGAGGCTGAGACACTGGCCCTGCGCCCAAGGGTGGGAAGGGAAGGCAGCAGCTCACAGCCCTGCCGTCCTCTTCTCTTGCTGGCTGGCCCGGGCCCGGAGCTGGGCGGCTGGAGCGGTCACCCGGGCAGACCCAGCCTGTCCCGCTGTGTACTCCCCACTGTCACTGGGCTGCATCCCCCACAGGGACAGGAGAGTCAGTGGGGTGGCCCCGGGGCAGGAGCGGTGATGTTATCCTCACCCTGCTTCTCCTGGCTGGAGCACTTCTAAAAGGCTCTAGATTCTGGGGCCCAGAGGTAAATGCATTTTCTTCTGGCTAATTCTCTGGTTCACGAGAGGGAAGCCCGAGGCCTCTGTCTGTTCCCCTAGTTGCGGGCAAGTCACTGTGCTCCAGTTTCCACACGTGTTAGCTGGGATAAGGGCCCCTAACCCCCAAGACTCTGGGGTGCTCAGGAGATGGTCCACGCTGGAGCCTGGGCGGTGGTTTGGCCATTTGCTGGAGCTGCCCTCGGGCTGGGGGATGGCCTTGTGGGCTGCAATGTGGTGCCTGGGGAGGCCCTGGACCAGGAGAGGCAGGATGACCCTGAGGTGCTAGAGCGCTCGAGCACGTGTGCTTTAGAGCCCAACTGCCTGGTCCACACTGTGGAGTCTCCCGTCTGCAGCTGTGTGCCCTTGGTCAAATGATCATGCCTTCCTGTCGTCTTCATTTCCTTATCTGCAAACGGGATGGTGACGGTACCCACGTGATTGGGTTACTGTAGCAATTTTCATGAGAGGTAGTTTGTACTGTGGTTAGGACTGTGGCCTCTGGAGCCAAACTATCCGGGTTCAAATCCTCTGCCAAGATGCCATCCTCTTGGGGCCTCCGTTGACTCTGTTGTAACATGGGGATTTGGTTGACAAATCATTTCGAGCACCTTTCGGGGAGTGGGAGCTGCAGAGGGGCTGCCTGCTGTGTTCCCTCGTGAGTCTCTGTCACGTCGGTAGTGACCACGATCTCAGGGGTCTGCTGACAGGGCTCGGGAGGAGGCCCCTTGGCCTTGGGAGCCAGCTCGGGCTTTGCCACGCGCCGGTTACGATGCCAAGCACTCGATAGCCTCCATCTCATCTAACACTTGCAGCCACGTTGTGAGGTGGGCACTGTTATTATGCCTGGATGGGGGACTGGGGCACAGAGGGGTTAAGTGACCTGCCCAAGGTAACCTCGCTAGTAAAGAGCGGATCTGATGTGGAACCCCGGTGCTAACTGCTATAGCGTCCTCAGCTGGCCGTCGTCCCCAAGGGTCTGTCCTGGATGTCTGGTCCTGTGGCAGTACCTGGGTCCCGCTGAGCTTGGGTGAGGGTCTGCTCGCTCTGCCCCCCACTTCTCACCACTGGACAGTCGTCCAGATCTCCCCTGCCCTGCCTCTCAGTATGGGCGGGGGGCTTATACGTGGTGAGGCACGGAGTGCAGTACCCTGTGGCAGGTACCCAGCAGGGCTGCGGTGCCGGGAACAGCTGAGGCACATCCCTGATGTCCCCCTGTCCCCCCCCCCCCCCCCCCCGCCATACACAGGAGGGGCTGCTCACGTAGGACTGCCTCTGGTGAAGGGCTGGCCTCTCAAAATACGGGCAGGGTGGTGTATTGGAGGTGAGGTGAGGCCATTTCTGGAAGCTGCCCGCCTCTGCTATTTCAGGCCCACCAGGGGCGGGTTTAGGAGGAGTGGGCCAGTCCCTCTGGAGTCCACCGGGTGACTCAGAGTGGTGGGCGGGGGCACCGAGCCCAGCTCTTGGGGACAAAGGTCATCTCTGGCCTGGGCCCCACCTCGGCTCTCCCTGAAGTGAGAGGCGGTCGGCGCTGGGGTCAGAGCTCCGCTCCTCTGGGAAGCCCTCCAGGTGACCCTGACTTTACCCTCCATGTCAGGAATTGCTCTGTGTTTAACCCCTTCCTCACTGCCTGCACCCCTACCCTCTGAACCCTCGTGCAGGTTTCCAGTTCAAGGCGTGCAGACCCGTGGCACTCAGCATGCTCTTCCTTCCCTTCAGGGTGTCCCCCGTCAATCTCAGCAGCAAAATGAAGGAAGAAAACATGTGGGGACTTCTGATCTCTGCAGGCCGGCCCCCCCAGGTCACAGAGCCCATCTCACACCCTCCCGCTGTAGAGAGGAAACTGAGGCTCGAGAGGGGAAGGGACCTGTCAAAGAGGGGGACATCCCTACAAGTGGAACCCTCCTTTCATGATCTCAGCTCACCCTGTTGCAGCCCCATTACGTGATGACCATACCGCATGTAGGGAGGTCAGCGATCTAGCCCGGGGTCAGGAGATCAGAGTAAGGCTGGCGTGTGAATTCAGGTGTCAGCTCCAAATCCCTCCCACCCCTGGCTCCTCACTTTAGATGACGGGATGCTCACTGCCCCACAGGGTAGCCCATTTCCCTGGAGGATGGGGCCAGGAAGTCAAGCCAGAAATAGAAGGAGAGTGTGCCTCTGCGTGGTGGACCTAGGCTGCAGTGACTGTGGCTGCTTGGGACCATTTTGGCTCCCCTGCACTTAAGCCAGAAGGAGGGGGAGGTGATGAAAGGTGAAGAATCCAATGAAGAACCTTCTGAGCAGAGAAGTTTCCAGGCCTTGGGACAGGTGGCCGGGGAGCATAGGATAAGTGCCTGTCATTTCGGGGACTCCTTACTTTGGGAGCAGAACCCTGTCGTGAGCCTGATGACGAAGAGACTGATGTCGTAGTCTGCTTGGGTGGCCACTGCAAAGTACCACAGACTGTTTGCCGTAAACAATAGACATTTAGTTTCTCACAGCTCTGGAGGCCAGAAGTCTGAGATCAAGGTGTGGGCAGGGTTGGTTTCTCCTGAGGCCTCACTCCTTGGCTTGTTGACGGCCGTGTCCTCTTTGTGTCTTCACATGGTCTTCCCTCTGTGTGTGTCTGCGTCCTCACCTCCTCTTCCCTTAAGGACATCAGCCATATTGGATTAGGGCCGACCCTTATGATCTAATTTTAACTTAATCACCTCTTTAAAGGCCCTATCTCCAAGTACAGTCACATTCTGAGGTACTGGGGGTTAGGACTTCAACATATGAATTTTGGG